GAGAGAGAGAGAGAGAGAGAGAGAGAGAGAGAGAGAGAAATAAGAAGCTGTATAAATGTACAGTTAATATAATTTGACAAATTGAAATTCAAACAAAGTCTAGGACAAAATATTACTGTAAGATAAAAAAAAAATGTGATCTCCCATGTTCACATCCGTTTAGACACCAAGTTGCACTGGTATTTTGGAAAAGAACAAACAGATGGAGTAATAAATATTTTTTTCTAAACTTAGTACTTCTATGTGCAACTCGTGAAATCTGAATACACCCTAGCCTTCCGGTGGGGTAAGTATATGCTGGTTCTAAGGTGAAGCTTTATTGGAAAACCGACACCCGAGTTCGTATTACATAGTAGCCAGTATCTCTCAACTGCCAACTGAAACTACACATAAACTTCTCATCTCTGGAGAAACTTCAACAATTAAACTCTGTATTTTTTACTCACTATGTAACCACTGCACTACAGTTATAATCTACGGAAGTAACTCTTATAATCACTGGAATAATTCGTGCATCGACAACATATATATATTGTTATTATTTACAACATAAGATGAACTATTAACTTGCATAAGAGACTGTACTGAGCTCAGACATTGATCACTAATAGGCTACGCAGATGCCCTGTTGCAGAGCTCTAAACGGGAGGGGGATGCCCTTAACCAGAGCTCTAATGGGAGATGAGGCGGGATGAGAGTTCGAGGGAGGGGGGGGGGCTATCCCCATTTCAGGCCTGGCACTGGCACTTCCGCGTGTCTGCTTCTAGAAAGTGCGTCGATGCGTCTGACTGCAGACTTCCATCTCAAAGTTCGTTTTGGGGTCTCTTGTTCTCATGGCTGGAACCGTCTCCCGTTCATCCGGAAATCTCGAATCTTCAAACGTACGTTCCTTCTTGAGTCGCGGCTGAAGTTGCGTCATGTCTTCGCTTTGGTAAGCCGTGAGATCGTGAGCAAACTTCACTGATCATTCGCTTGAGTGGGCGAGAGAGTCAGCACACTTGGCTCACAAAGTACCGACTTGAAGTGGGATACGGTATTGTGATCATAGGCATCCTTCATTCTGCTACGGATACACAAATCACAACCTGAGAGGCCTCCTAGGAGTGACGACCCCGTGGTACAGAGTGACCCCGCAACTCAGGAAGTTCTCGGACGTCCCTATTTCATAATGAGTGGAGACTTCCTTCTTTATGATAGCCTCGCAGGGCTCTATCCTACTGTGCTGAGAACGACTTTCGACCTCAAAGAACCTCCAGGGTGCTGCACCAAAGAAAGGACTTTCCTGCTTGATGGCCCGACGCGGCGAGACAGTGAAGAGAGTGGCCGAGCCTTCCTTCTTTATGGGAGGGCGTGGTGATGCGGGAAGGAAAGCGACGTTCTTGATGGGTGGGCGCGGTGATGCGGTGAAGAATGTAACGGCACATTCTGTCTTGACTGGACCGAACAATGATGCACTGATATCGTGAACAGTAAAACCTCCATCATGAAATGTGCGGAAGGGCATGCTGGCGCCATGAAGTTCCCAACTCTCAGTCTTAATAACTCTGCCATGAGTCGTAGCGCTGCAAGGGACGGCATTCCGGGATCTGAGGGCCCTTCTTGGAGTCGCCGGGCAGTAAAGGACATCCTCCTTGCTTTCTAAACTGAACTTGGTCTTCGATGCCGTCCTGAGCCAACGAACTGCTGCTGCCGGCGCGCAGGTGTCCTCTGCCGCTGTCCTGAGGGCCTTCCGAGGAGTCACAGGACTGGGAGGGTAAACTAAAACAGTTTTGATTGCTGTGCAAGAGGTGGTCGCGATGGAGGTGTCACCCCCCGCCGCCGTGTCCGCCCAGGAGAAGCATGGATAGAGGGCGGGGTCGAGGCACCTGCCGGTTTTGATTGTCATACGAGGTGCAGACGGTGTCGACTCCCTGCTTTGTGTCCAATCTTCAAAAGGAAAGATTCCTACAGTGGCAGAGGAAGTTCTAGAGCCGCAGGACAAGGGAAATGGGCGAGCAGGTTCAGGAGAGTCTCGCGGGAACTCAGTATCCGGGAGTGAAGGAGAGAGAGACGGCACTGGGGAAACAGAGAGGCTGCAGGCGAGGGGTTTGCTGTCAAGTGGAAGTGTGCAAGCGGTAGGCGTGCTGGGGGTAAATTCCCGGATAGTATGTGCAGTTACAGACATCGATGTTTCAGCTGAGGATGTAATTGATACCTGGGAGGAACTCAATGGGACAGGTGGCTCCAGGGTGGTGACGGAGTGTGTTGCTTGCCCTGTAGGTTCTTGGGTCAAGATCAAAGACGTAGGCAGCGTAGATATTGTTTGGTCTTTGGCTAAGTGTGTGGCTGCCACTTGCTCTTGGCTGGAGGACGTGCGTATTTGTGTTTCACGGGTGGTGGTCGACAGCGTCACGGCGTCCTGGGCAATCAACGTGGCTGAGGCTTCTCTTGAGAGTGTGGCCACTGCTGTGTCCTCTAAGGTTGTGGCTACGGTCTCTTCTGAGGCTGTGGCCATTGCTGTCTCTTCTGAGGATGTGGCCATTGTTGTCTCTTCTAAGGTTATGGCCACTGTTGTTTCTTCTGAGGCTGTGGGCACAGTTGGTTCCTTATGTAAGGGTACTGACTCTACTGGTTCCAGGCTGTAATATGTAGGATTTGTTAGTTCCATATCAGAGGTTGCAAGTGCAGTTCTTTCCGCATCATAGGTTATAGGACTACCTGATTGTAGGGGAGAAGTTACGGGTTCTATTTGTTTCACATTGAAGGCTGGAAGTTTCGCTGGTGACAGGGTTGAAGCTGGAGGTGTTGCTGGTTCTAGAGCGGAAGGTGTTGGCCTTGTCGGTTCTACGTCGGAGGTTCTAGGAATGTTCTGTTCAGGGCCAGACGGCGTTGTCTCCGCTGGTGTAGTGGCCGCGGTTTCGGTAGGTGCAAGCTCCACATCTAATTCAGGAGGTGCTGATTCTAAAGTGGAGGACGCGGGCGGGGACAGTGACAGGATGGGCGGTGTGGGCGCCGTAGATTCAACAGTGGAATCCCCAGCCTTCGTTGATTCCAGGGGAACACATGGAGGGTCGGTTGACCCGAGGGGAGAGACGGTTCCAGGGTTCATCGTTGGTTCCAGGGAGCAAGTGGGCGTTGGCGCTCGGAGGGAGGAAGTGGACGTGTTTGAGGCGGGGACTGAAGTGGAAGATGATGAGTGGGAAGAGGAAGAGAAAGAAGAGGAAACAGAAGAAGCAGAAGAGGAGGAGGAAGAGGAGGAAGGAGTGGTAGTGGTGATAGAAGTGGTGGAGGTGGAGGAGACGGGATCCGCAGGCATGGCGGACAGAGGCAGAGGCGTCGGGTCCGGGAGCGCGTGTGGCACCCTCGTCGCGCGGGAGTGAGTGTAGGAGGCGTCGGTGGGAGGATGAGCGTGGTGGTGGTGGAGGAGGTGTAGGAGGTGGAGGCAGTCACGCAGGCGCAGCAGCAGAAGCAGCAGCAGCGAGGACAGCGACGATAACAGGAGTGGAGAGGGTAGAGCTCAGCCGGAGAGACGACCACAGTCCGCTATGGTGATGGCCTTGGATGGTCGATACACGGAGTTCGAGTCTCCTAGCTGGGTCATCCTGGGGGAAGGGGAGAGGGGGCCGGTTAGGGCGAGGAGGGCAGAGGACTCGTCGGTCCGCTGTTAACATTGCTCATGTCCGAATCTACCACAGGAACCAAAGGATAAAAAGTATTTTGATTTTGCTTTGGCCTTTTCCGTTGTTAACAGTCATCCAGGGAGAGAGAGAAACAAGAGGGATTCCGTAGTGAGAAAAAGAGTAGGCGGGAAGATTAAAACAAAAAGGTGAGAGAAAAAGAGGAAGAGAAAAAGAGCGGATGAAAGAGGGGGGAGGAGAAGCAAGCAGGGAAGACCAAGAGAGAAAAGGAAAGGTCGAGAGTCATAGAAAGAGAAAGAAAAGGAAAGGTCGAGAGTCAGAGAAAGAGAAAGAAAAGGAAAGAGAGAAATGAAGGGAGAAAGAGAGAGAGAGAGAGAGAGAGAGAGAGA